AWTWWATATCAAGCCATCTATCCTGTAAAGCAATTTTGAGTCTATTTTTATACCTATGRTCACTGCTCGGTTARATTCTATTGTCTTACTTACAAAAGATCCTCCTTTGGGCTCAACATTCAATGATTTTTACATTGTTTAACTCCTTTTTTCTCTTTTTGACAAAGAAATTGTTACCATTTGTACACAATAAAAAACCGAAATATTTCAAAGAGAAAGGCCGTCACCTAGTAACTGAGAAAGAACTGGAAAAATAGAATTAATATTTAATTCTACAATTGATTCRTAGTCTTGTTTTTCAAAAGTTGAAGTATACGTAATTTGAAAAAAAAAACTTTGGACAAAACTTTCTTGGCATATGTTAGGTCTCAAGCCTGGGGTCATAGATAGTCATTAACTAAATAAATTAATGCAGTAAAGAATACTGATAACCTTCAAAACAACTTTCAAATTTATTCTTAATGTCGGCATCYGACATGCCGACAAGTTTTCGCTGGACTTTTATTGGATCTCATTGTTCAACAACTTTCTTCTCTCTCGATCACACACACATCTAGTACTTGTCAAGTTCTCTTTTTCATTCCACAATTCGTAAATAAAAAAAACAAATAATGTATTTTTTTTGCCTTTGTTTTGAATGGGAAAATAAAACAGTTGTTCAGAACGATATTTACGTTCGTCTTTTAGGACGACCGGTTCAGAATTCGATCTTATGTAGCCTCTGATCTAATTTAGTTGAGTTTATATCAGCATTCGTCCATTGGTAGATTTTGTTTACCCTGGTTCCAGAGGCTTGTCTTTTAGAATCCGAGTTAGGCGCGGTATCGACACAATATCGAACATCCGATAATTATATTCTGATATTATCCTCTATTTATATTGATATTGCGATATTATCGGATAATATCAATAATTACATCTAWTAGAWAGTCACTAGATYAGTCCTCTCTTACTGTCYGAACCMCTYGATATTGYGATATTATCGGATAATATCAMWAATTACATCTATTAGATWGTCACTAGATYWGYCCTCTCTTACTGTCTGAACCCCTCGATATTGCGATATTATCGGATAATATCAAWAATTACATCTAWTAGAWASTCACTAGATCAGTCCTCTCTTACTGTCTGAACCCCTTGATATTTATCTGATATTATAACACTATCGATATTATCAAAAATTATCCAAAAAACCTAGTTAACTGAATGTATTTTTTGATATTTATGTGATAATATAACACTATCGATATTAWCGATATTTTTAAGGTTTGTTATCGATGTTGACGAAATTAGATACGAGGAAAATATCGGATAAACGATATTCTGTTGATACCGCGCCTAAACGTAGAATCCTTTTGCTTGCTATGTTATCGAGCCGCGAAAGCGGCGAGACGTCCGTTAATCGTTTTGTTTTTGATTGGTTCGATAAAATACACAGCATGAAAGTGAGCCAGGGTAGATTTTGTCGAGTTGGGCGGACTTATTATAATCCGTAAATGTTTATTGATTTAGACTGATTTAGATCGATGTCTGAACCAGGACTATTGATCATTTTTAACCATTCCCATGAGATTCAAAAGATAAAAGACCGGCGGCCATGTTGGATGAGTGAACAATAGATACTAATGAGAAATCCTTCGTTGATATTCCTCCAAGATAGCCGCTGTGACGTATAGTGAAAATGAAGAATACAGTCCGAATAACACTAGCAAAACATATCATATTATACTTTATTTCTTTTTCAGGTGGTGATATCTTTTATATTTAGTATTTCGTATGTTGTGCTGTATGCAGTAGAAGCAACTTAGTAAGTATTATATTTCTTTAATTCTCAATTTAGTATACATTCATTAGGGGCTGCGGAATATTTATCAGGAGAGTGGTTGAGAAATGAGCCAAAAAATCTCACAAGTTAATTACTAGTTTTCCAATTCTATAAGTACTTGGAAATAATCACAGAATCTGACACCATTGATTTTTCAGTTTCCAATTAAAGTTCTAGTTAATTTTAGACGCTACCCCCTCTTTAAGCACATAAAATTAGATATTGCTATATTCTAGAACATTTGGTAGCTTTTTTGATTCCATATCGTTTAATGTTATTTCTAACCATTCTGAACAGCAATGATTTGGCAAAAAAACTTCAATTTCGTTTTCATAGCCATCCGCCATCTTGATGCTTTCATCAATACCCATGGTGCACTTCGCTCAAACAAGCATGACGTCATTAGTGTACAAGACATTGGTCATCATTGCTATTTAACAATTAGACCTCGAGGTCGAGTGGACTACGAGCTAATAGCCCATGAGGCCGAGTCCGCGAGGCCGAATGGGCTATTAGCTCGTAGTCCACGAGGCCGAGAGGTCTAATTGTTTTAGTATAAACATACTAATCGGTCAAATAATGAAAACAAATTGAAATATCCTTAAAATAATTTATACTTTATTTATTTTGATTTTCCCGCGAGTGGTCTATCATAAATTAGACCATTAGTAGAGTAGCCAATCACAGCGCAGTATGAGTGATAGACCATTAGTATGTTTATACTAACATTAATTATCATATCGTCAACATTAGTATAATCCATCAATCAGTTGTGAGTTTATTCCTGAATAACATTCCTTCCTTTTTATTTATAGTCCAGTGGAACACTGCCTTGATTTAAATGAACAAATATTATGGCTGTTTGAGATTGGTTTAAAYACATTTTTTATCCTTCATTTCTTGTTGCGGGTAAGTAGCTGTGCATTGTTTTATGGAAGTGTTTGTCTTGCCACTCGCTATTTTTTCCTTCTGACCTCATTTTCTTTATCAATTTCCATTTATTTTTTTAAAGTTCCTTGCCGCCAATGATAAAGTTCGTTTCTGGATGGATCCRCTAAGTTTGGTCGACTTTTTCACTGTACCTCAAGTATTCGTTTCAATTATTATCAGGCAAAACTGGATTGGTGAGTTCACACYGCATCGAAAAAGTTGCAAATGTATTATTTTCAGTTGGCATTTCAACATCCTAATAACCTAGGACCTGAATGATAGGCACACAGCACTAAAGTTTTAGTACGGAACTTCAATATCTCCTACCTCCAGGCCCTTAGTATCAGCTCATGAAAAGCTGGTCACTGGGAATGGGTATTGTTTGTTTGTTTGTGTGCTGTTGTTGTTGCGGTTTGTTAGGTGCAGTCCAAATTGTAAAATTCAAAAGCGGAGTTTTCAAACTTTGTCAGAAAATAGGCCTTTTCGCTCTTTCCCTTTTCAGTGCCAGACCCTCTCTCCCTATCCCACTTCCAGCCTATAGCGTAGACCATTCAACAGCAAGGCTCTGGTATTTTCATTCTTTTAAAAACCAATGTTAATTTTGATTTTTTGACTTTGATTTCAGGCTTACGATTCCTGCGAGCGTTGCAGCTCATCAAGCTAGCAGATATACTTCAATTCCTGGGAATAGTTCGCTCAAGGTATTAATTGTAAAGTATATGATCATTTCATTACTATTACATATATATGACTTATTGAAAGAAAACTGTGCTTGGGTTCCAAAAGGCTGCTGAAATTGAGCATGGGAAAGAAATATTACGAGCATAATAGTGTTTAAGGTCAACAGATTACCTGCACTGAATAAAATGACCTTCTATCTTCGAATATATACTGTGATGTAACATGTTTTAGGTAAACATGGTAAATTTTATTTGAATTTCTGAGTACTACTTTCTGAATCCCTTTCGTAGTTTTTTTCCGACCCGCGATAATATTTTTTCAATTAGGTGTATATTTAACAATTAGACCTCGAGGTCGAGTGGACTACGAGCTAATAGCCCATGAGGCCGAGTCCGCGAGACCGAATGGGCTATTAGCTCGTAGTCCACGAGGGCGAGAGGTCTAATTGTTTTAGTATAAACATACTAATCGGTCCCCAATCGGTCATATAATGAAAACAAATTGATATATCCTTAAAATATTTCATTAATGAGACTGATTTTCCCGCGAGTGGTCTATCACAAATTAGACCATTAGTAGAGTAGCCAATCACAGCGCAGTATGAGTGATAGACCATTAGTACATGTATGTTTATACTAACATGATATAGTTTTTTTGATTTTTAATCTGATATTACAAACGTGACACGTGATATGTTTAGATTTTKTATTTCTTGTTGTGCGAATTTCAGTGGTGCTGTTACCCTTGCAAAGACTGTAGGACAACTGTTTGCAGTTCTTTTGACCTTTGGAGGACTTATTCATTTGGTAAGATGAAAATGTTCTGTGTGAGGACATTGTGCTTAACATGCTCAACTTTAATATGTAAATCCAATGGAAATTTTCAACGTTTTGAGTCACAAACTGCCTATTCCTATTCCACAAACAAACTATTCCATTTGTTTGTGGAAATTATCAAAATGTTATATTTCATTGCAGTTGGAAAACACTGGAAACCCATGGGACACAGAAAACAGTGCTCAGCCCATGACTTACTTCGAGAGTCTTTACTTCCTTGTGGTAAGTGTTTCCGCTGAAAACGCGGCCGTGCAAAAAGCGCGGGAAAATGACGCGCGCGCGTACAATCCGGCATTTTGCCGCTTGTTTTGTCCAAGGGGCTTTGTAAACTACTATTTTTTTAAAAAAAAATCCTATTTTTATATCATTCAGAACTGTTTCCTTGTTGACGGGACATGAACAATAAAAATGCTCTATAACACAAAGCGTTTAAACTGTGTCGTTTACACTAAAGCAATGCCTATCGTCTCCGTCTTTATCCCAAGCTAACAGACTGCTAAACCTGGTAATACCGAACATTTAGCAAAAGAAAAGACAAAGGAATAAATTGAAAATGAAGCATGMGCAGCCAAGACATTGACATAAGCGTATCAATAAGAATAGCTTATTGCAAGCAAAAAATACAAACAACAACAAAATGAATACATTGTCTTCCTTCTACTCCCTACATGTAAACAAAGCTTAAGTATTTTCAATTTTTCCAGGTAACAATGTCGACAGTTGGGTATGGTGATGTAGGTGTAAATACTATTTTTGGTCGCTTAGTGATTATGGTTTTTATTTGCATTGGGTTGGTAAGTAATTTAAAGTTTCACACTTAAATGTTTTTTAATTTGCCATTTTTTGAACATATTTGATTCTTTTTTGAATATACATCAGTTAAATGATATATCACAATTCATTTCAGCTTTTGAGAAATAATTTCATTTTTGTTTTCAATCATTACTTTCACTTGGTAAAATGCTTAGCAATAATCGTTTCTGTGAAACATTTGCCGAGCTCAAAGCGCTTTGGGGGAGCTCGTCTATAGCTCTAATTGTTTTGTGTTAATTCGTTTTTGGTAATAACTGGGTTATTTTTCTCTGGTTTAGAGTCGCTGTTTTAATAATCATTTTTAAAAAACACAAAAGATAAAACAGCTTGTGGTAGTTTGCGGAAGATATATTAGAAAAATAACAACAGCTTTGATCGGATCAATCCAAAATGGTAGCAATTTCATTTCATTATCTTTGGCCAAAATTTCATTTATATTGGAAAAGTTGTAGCAATTTCATTTAATTTAAAATTTAAAGCCACATCAACAAATGTTATCGATGAAAATCCAAACTGTTCTGTCAATTTTCTGTATAAATCATACAGATAGAAATTGTTAAGTTTCGTTCAGTGAAGAAAGTGACTTCGGAAATATTCTAGCGCATGACAAAACTTGTAAAATGCGCCACACGTGAATTCGATGTGTCGTTTGTCGCTCATTGTTTTCTATTTATCTTTCTGTGATAGCTTTTTTAGGATTTAAAAATGCTTAACTTTTTTTTATTTTTCAGGGCATCTTTGCAACCCATATACCATTGATTATGGAATACTTTGCCTCGCATTCTCAATATCACGGCTCGTACAAGGTCGCTCAAGGCAGAAAGTGAGTATATGTTAACGTAGTGCTTAGCGTATACGCAGGTGATGCATACGTGAATAGTTGGCAGATTTATTCTAACGGACGCAACTGTTCGTTTGTACGGTGCGTTCTTGCGGGTTACGTAAGGCATTTATCGACGCAAACACAACTACCAGAGGAGACGGATATTTTTCTTGCGATTTGCTAAGTGAATGCTATTATCGCCTATTTTAACGCAAATGCTTGCTTTTAGACACGTCTTTCTTTACTTTTCACGTAACGCATTCATCGACGCAAGTACAATCACTGCCAGAGAAGACGGATAATTTTTTCTTACACTTTGCTAAGTGAATGATGCTATCGCCTATTCTAACGCAACTGCTCGGTTGTAGACACGTCTTTCTTTGCGTTTTACGTAACTCATTCATCGACGCAAGTACAATCAGAACCAGAGAAGACGGATAATATTCCTTGCGATTTGATCGCCTATTCTAACGCAACTGCTCGGTTGAAGACACGTCTTTCTTTGCGTTTTACGTAAACGCATGGATCGACGCAAGGACAATCGCTACCGCACTATTCTAACGCAACTGTTCCTTTGTAGGCACGTCGTTCTTTGCGGATACATTACGCATGACACGGTCGAGAATTTTCTACGTGATTTTCTTCATAAAGATCGATCGGATGTTGGCGTTGATGTTGTGATTCTGGGAAAGTAAGTTATATACATCAAGAATGAAGAGTTAAAATGCTTTACCGTCATCTTCATCATCATCATCATGATATCATTAATTATTTTCTTATACCCTGTTGCATAGATTTCAAGCGTTTATAGATTTCAAGAATTTTATAGTTAAACAGAATTTTTCATTAATTGCTGATTTTCAGGCAACCATTGTCATTATCATCATCATCATCATCATCATCATCATCTGATATCATTAATCATTTTGAGCGTTGCACTATCAAGTCAATTAATTCATTTGATAAAACAGTTTTATAAGAAAATTCATCATAAATCTTTCCTAACCTGAAATAATTCATAATTATTTTCTATTAATCTATTTTAATTACCTCAGTGAATTCCCTGGTCAAAACATCCAGAGTGTTATTAAGAAGCATTTCTAACCTGAAATAATTCATAATTATTTTCTATTAATCTATTTTACCTCAGTGAATTCCCTGATCAAAATATCCAGAGTGTTATTAAGAAGCATTACGTGCACGTGTCATACTTTATGGGAACCGTGTTGACGTCTGAAGATTGTCGGCGAGTTAAGGTAGATAATTATCAAAATATTTTATAAGTGGAAATCAAAGACTTTTGATCGAACAGGAAGGCAGATTGAATTCTCTTTTTATTGACATTGACATACATCGAACAAATGAAAATGATTGATGTATTTATGTACTGATGTAATGATTGATAATTGATTGATTGATTCATTGACTGTCTGAACGACTGTCTGACTGCTTTGATAGACTGGTGAATACGTTAACGAACCGATCGACCATTAAATATAATGGATTTATCGACTGCTTGATTGACTGACCGACTGACCGACTTTTTTTGCTTTTTATAAATTATTTGATCTTTTTGTTTGAGTGATTATAAGTTGTTGTTTTTTTGTTTTCAGATGGCAAAAGCAGATGCATGTTTAGTTTTGTGTGACAAGAACTGTTCCGTTCCCGACAACGAAGACGAGGAAAATATCATGAGGTAAATGAAAAGCAATTAATTTCATAAACATCAACAATAAATAGAGAAATTAACTATAACAGACGATGAGTCTGCTACTGGTAACATTGTAACCCAGTACARCCTGCCTCATGGAYGGGTYGTCGGCGTCTAAACCGGCTCCCCCACCAGTCTAACTGGTGAGGAGGGTGGCATGTACACCCAGCAGGACTAAAAACAAGACCTGTTAAAGGGCGAATGAGCTCATCTGAGCCACCGGCCATCATGCATGCTTCTTTATTCCTTGTATGTATTTTTGTATTGTCATTTATATTTTAATTTTTATTGTTGTAATTTTTAAGTTTGATATCTTGGGACGGACTAAGAGCGGCAGCCATGAGGCGCCATCTTAAGCTCGCAGTCTACCATGACTCTGTCATTGTAATTGTTTGTAATTTGAAAGCGCTTAGAGCAGATTTGTATAAGCGCTGTATAAAATAAAATTATTATTATTATTATTATTATAACATTTTACAAATTGTTTCATTTTTTTTAATGGTGGTTCTGTGTCTTGCAGAGTTGTTGCGATCAAAAACTTCTTTCCTAAGATGAGAGTTATTGTCCAGTTACTGCAATATCATAATAAGGTACGCGATACATGCAACATTATGAATTACCTTATTTAACGCGGTTTTAAGTATAATGTGACAAAGCCTTATCAAATCATGTTGGATTTATCTGATAGGCTTATCTACTCAATATACCGTCATGGGACGCCAAGCTTGGAGACGATGTGGTGTGCGTCAACGAGGTATGATTGATTGATTAATTGATTGGCATTGAATGATTGGTTGGCTGATTGACTGATTGACTGATTGATTGATTGGCATTGAATGATTGCTTGCTTGTTTGCTTCGTGCTTGCTTGCTTGATTGATTGATTGACTAATTGATTGATTGATAGATTGATTTATTGACTAATTGATTGCTTGATTGACTGTCTAATTGAATGATTGATAAGTTGATCTATTGACTCGAATTCTTACGTCTTACAGCTCAAGTTAGGATTTATCGCTCAAAGCTGCCTGTCTCCTGGGTTTTCTACACTTTTAGCAAATATATTCTCCATGCGTTCAAATGATTCGGTAAGGTCTTACGTCATGTGTTATTTATATCATAATCAAAACAGTCATTACTGTCAYAGTCATTGTGCCATCATTCGGTTATTGATGATATTATGACTTAGTCATTATTGTTGTTATYATCATAATAAAGTTGTAATAAATCTCTGATTGATCTTTATTAGGAAAACGACGAGGGTGGTGAAGACGACTGGAAGAAATGGTATATCAGAGGAACAAACTGCGAACTGTACACTGAAAAGCTTGCTACTTCCTTCAAAGCCATGACTTTCCAACAGGCTGCTGAGTAAGTTATTCGTTTATCTATTTATGAAACAATTTCCATCAATCCATTGATTTATCGAGCCATTCATTCATTCAGTCAGTCATCTATTTATGCATCCATCCCTCTCCATCCTTCCTTACCTCCTTCTTTAATCCCTTCCTTCCCTCCCCCCTCCCTCACATATTCATACATCCCTCTCCATCCTTCGTTCCTTCCACCCTTCTTTCCTGTCTGTCTGTCTAACTGTTATGCTCATCATGTTTTCAGAATTTGTTTTGAGAAGCTGAATTTATTATTGATTGCAATCGAAATAATGAAACTTGACGGCGAGAAAACGTGAGTATAAAGCTTTAAAACAGCATTTTTTTGTTTTCATCAGCATTTTATTGTTGTCGTTGTTGTCGATCGTGTTGACATTGTTGTTGTAGCAGGCCTGTTATTTACTTTTAGAGTTGTTGTTGTCATTGATGTCGAGGTTGTTACGATTCAGTGCACGCATGCGCTTGCGTTTTATTGAAATTCAAATAAACTTCATATCCTAGATTTGCTATCAACCCCAAAGACAAAGCCATGACAATCCAAGCAAATACACTWGGATACTTCCTGGCCGAGTCGTCACATGATGTCAAAAGGTATGTGGCTTCCATATTTACTGGAGAGTATTAGCGATATTTTTTTTTTCGGTCCGGTATCCTAGTAATTCGCGCTCTGTGATTGGCTAGCGCGCGGTCCGGTTTTTCACGATCTTCCCGGTCCACAGTATCCTAGAGCTAAGTTGCGAGCAAAGTTGCATAAAATACAAATAATAAAAATGTTATTTACCGGCTATAGGTCGGTCCGTATAGGAAAACACTGCCCTCGGTCTTCTATGTACGGACCTCACGCGCTCGTTCCGTACTGTCAAGACCTCGGGCAGTGTTTTCCTATACGGACCTCCCAGCCGGTAAATAACATATATTTATTTTGATCAGCAATCACATTGTTCATAATATTGTCAATTCATGCGTTGTTTGTTCGTCATGGGATGGATCTATGAAAGGGTTTAGGTTTTTTGAAGGGTTATTTCCTCTGTGCAAGCTTTGGTTCAGATACTTAGGCTTGGGTTTCCTGTGTAGAAGCTATGAATCCGATACTTAGGCTTGGGTTCCCTGTGTAGAAGCTGTGATACTCATCCATTGTTTGTGTCACTAGAGCCCTTTACTACTGTACGTCGTGTCATTCTGATATACAAGACCCTGAACAAATCAAGGAGTGTGAATGCTCTAAACGTGAGTACTCAATTACCAACCATAACTGTTGGGGGGAGGGGAGGGGGACATATGAATAGCATTGTGGGTAGTCAATTGTGMAATTCGTGCCTGCCCATGCGATGTTCCGTAGCCGAGATCCGCGTCGCTGTACAGTCATATATGCACTGATTCGTCAGGGCTTAATACCTAGTCATAGTACCTACGGGCGTGACCAACGCAATGACAATTCACTTAAATCGATCCACTTATACGTAGCGACTAAGAACTTAATTACGTTTCCGCCCATTGGTTATCATGTTCATTTATATTAATTTATTTTTTCTTTCTTTCTCACTCCTTTCATTTCCATTTGTTTTGTTCTTTAGCTGAAGGTAACAAACTTGACKTAATTAACACAAACTATTCTTTTCTTACGTGTCTATTTACGTAACGT